CAGAGGCCAATACCGTCGCTAAGCAGCAAAGGTAGACAGTGAAGCATACTGCCGATACCACCTCCAAATCTCTGCTTACTTCAATAGCACTTAGACAACATGCTTGGCTCCGGGTGGCCAACATCCTGGATGATACCAAGACTAAGATTGAAGTTCTGTTCAATTCCAAAACAGATAACATAATGGAGAATATCCACAAAATGAGGAAGACTGCTAAGTCCTCCATCCCATACCAGCCTTATCAGTATCAGAAACCTTCATACAAGAAGCCGTTCTACCAACAACTCCCTCAGTACCAGTCCTTTCGGTACAGCAGGCAACAACACCATGAGTGCACCTACCAGCCACTTCAATCCGCCACATTGCAACTTAAGCGGCAACAATATCAGGGCTCCAGATAGCCCTTTCAGAAATCCCAATGCACGGGTAAGCCCTATTTAATTGCCCTGGTATCTCCACCAGACTCCGTCTGTTCCTTCCCCAGTGGAAGAGAGTTACATCAGACAGATGGGTTCTGACCATCATTGAGTGGGGATACGCTATAGAATTCGCGCACATCCCCGTGATAGATTCTATCAAGCCCACCCCCTTCTCCTTACCTTTACAAGAGAAAATCTAAGCTCTCCTCAGGAAAGGGGCTATAGTCATAGTTCCACCTGCTGACTCTAAAGGGGTACTTTTCTGTCCCTAAGAAAGATGGGGGTATTAGGCCCATCATGGACCTCTGACAGCTCAATGAATATATTCTTTACAAAAAATTCTGTATGCTAACTCTGGACTCCATTCTCCCTCTTCTCTCTCAGGGGAACTGGTTCACTACCATCAACCTCAAAGATGCTTACTTTCATATTTCAGTTCAACCGTCCCATCAAAGATTCCTCCGGTTCCGGTTCTAGCACATCACTTACCAGTTTGCCTCTCTCCCCTTTGTTCAGTTCAACCGTCCCATCAAAGATTCCTGCGGTTCCGGTTCTAGCACACCACTTACCAGTTTGCCTTTCTCCCCTTCGGGCTTTCCACAGTCCCCAGGACATTTACAAAATGCATGGCTCCTGTTGTGGCTTACCTCTGTACCAAGGGAATAAAGCTCTTCCTGTACATCAATGATTGGCTTCTGGTTGCCAGGACCTATCAGGAGGCCATCACAGCCACAAGAACTACTCTTCAAGTCCTGCACAAATTAGGCCTACAAATAAATTCAGAAAAATCCCACCTAGTACCATCACAACTCATGAGTTACATAGGAGCACAATCGGATGCCCGTCAGGCAAAAGCATTCTTACCACCCGACCGAATAGCGAAAATCCGTTGGGTAGTACACCTTTTCTGGGGCTGCATTCATGATACTGTGGTCCGGGGAACTCACATCTTTCCTCCAATACCAATGTTGATCAAGACAATAACCAGGACTATCCAATACCAAACAGACACGATTCTCATCGCCCCATGGTAGCTGCGACAACTGTGGTTCACCCACCTGAGAGAGATAACACAAGAACTGTTCCATTTGCCTCCGATACCATCTCTCCTCTCCCAGAGCGATGGGGCAATTCTCCATCCCGATATCCGATCCCTACATCTGACGGCATGGAGGATAACCCCAAATTCTGTGCAATCTTAAACCAGGCTAGGAAGCCATCCACGTCTCGCCTGTATCGTAATACAGTGGTGCCTCGCAAGACAATTGCCTCATGGGATGATTGATCTGCAGTACGATGGTTTTTTGCGACCGCTGTGGCACTTTGCAAGATGATGTTTTCTGTGCACGATTTTCTGGTCTATGCTTTGCAAGACTTTTTTTTTAAGACCGATGCTTCGCAAGACGGTTCCCCCCCATTGGAATGCATTAATTATATAAGATCCACTTTTTTATCCCAAAAAAGTGTGTGTGGGGGAAGTATATGCTGCTGGCTTTCCAGGATCTGCCTCCTGGAAAGCCAGCAGGGCCATGGCTGCAAATTTAAACGGTAGAGGATGGTGAAAACAACCAAGGACCAAAGGGTAAATAGATTCTAAAAGCACCAGGGAAAGCACAAATGCAAACCCCCATTACCACAAATTATGCAGTTGAGTTCCCCACATTTGGGGAAATCACAGGGATCAGCACACCTGAAGTGCAGTGGATGAGCCACTTTCATGACCATGGTATTTCCCCTGCAAGGTATGAGTTGGAGTGGCCCTTGCACCTCCTACCCCCTTCTGTGCCCTGCCCCCCAAGGCATGGTGACCCCCTGGCTGCACCTCCCGCTCAAAACAGGGCTGCACAGCCCCAGTCCTGCCATAGGCCAATTCTTAATCTATTGCAAAGGCAGCAAGTCCTGGTGATGTCTTATATTGCATTCTCCCTCTTTTTCTCCCCAGTGGCAAAGGATCAGGGCAAAAGGAATCACCATGATCAGGAGCCAGGGGGCTGCTTTGACTCCTTTCACCCTCTTTCTTTGCTGCTGGAGAGAGAAAGAGGGGGCACGCCGTCTGAGGCCTCCTGCATTTCCAAAGGCAGTGCAGGTGAGGGGATTGCTTTCCCCCAATATGGTAGATTTCAATGCATTTCTATGGAGAATTGCATTTTGCAAGACAATGTTTTCTATAGATGATTTTTGCAAGACTGATTTTTCCCCCCGTTGGAACGCATTAAATACATTTCAATGCATTCCTATGGGGAACTGCTTTTCGCAAGATGATGTTTTTGCAAGACAGCGATTTCCACGGAACGAATTAAAATCGTCTTGCGAGGCACCACTGTAAATGGAAATCCTTCCTCAAATTCACTGCATCTAAGGGACTTACCCCAGTCCCATCATCTCTCTCGACTCTACTTACCTTTATCATGTATCTCTTTAACTGGAACATTCCACCATTAAGGTCTACATTGCGGCAATAGTGGCTCACCAGCCTCCCAGATCTAGCTCCGCTACACTTTTTTCCCACCCCATACCCAAGAGATTCCTAAAGGGCTTGAAGAATGTTCGCTCCCCCATCACAGAAAATTGTGCCTCAGTGGTTTCTGCAGCTCGTTCTTGAGGTACTTACAAGCCACCATTCGAACCCCTGGCTACCTGTAATGAAAAGTTACTTTCTCTGAAGGTGGCATTCCTCGTGGCAGTTACATTCGCCAGGAGAGCTAGGAAGCTAGCTGCTCTCAGATTGGACTCTCCCTATCTTCAGATGCACCCTGAGAAGGTCACCTTGTACCTAGGTGTGTCCTTCCTGCCCAAGGTGGTGTTGGAATTCCACGTAAACCAACCCATCATAATTCCGACCCTATTTCCATCTCCATCCACACCACTTGAGCCTAAGCTCCATACTCTGGATGTGAGAAAAGCCATTGTCTTTTACCTCCACAGAACCAAAACTTTTAGACATTCTCCATGTCTCTTGTGCTACCATGGCATTAACAGGGGTGCACCTGCCTCTCCACAAACAATATCAAGATGGATAGTGCAGTCGATACAGTTGGCATACCAACTTGCAGGCAAGTCGGTACCAGAACATCTAAAGGCACATTCTACCCGAGCTGTCTCTACATTAACTGCTCTACATTGTGGCATTCAACTTCACAACATCTGCAAAGCAGCCACTTGGTCCAACCCTCTGATATTCGCCAAGCACTACCGCCTCAATGTCAGAGCCAAGAATGATGCTGCATTTGGAAGGGTGATCCTGTCATCTCTGTTGCCATGACGGCCCTCCATCCGGTGAGTCAGCTTGCTAATCACCCATTTGTGTGTATTCACAGAGGCCACTACGAAGAAAGTTAGGTTACCTACCTGTAAGCATGGTTCTTCTAGTGGACCTCTGTGAATTCACACATCCCTCCCTTCCTCCCCTCTGTCCGTCACGGTACCATTCTATTTATCCACTCCATACAGTAATGGCGAACCAGGAGAAACTGAAAGGGACCTTGAGGAGACAGAGCTCATACACTGTGTGTGGGGGGGAACTAATTGACCTTTTTTTCACTAGGCTCTAGAATCTTCTGAACGTCCTGTGCAGGTGCAGGATAAACCCATTTGTATGAATTCACAGAAGTCGACTAGAAGAACCATGGTTACAGGTAGCTAACCTAACTTCATTCTACCATGCACATATAATGGGAATACAGAAGTGACCAGAATAGACCATATTGCTGAGAAAAGTGGGGTAGAGCAGTAGGAAAAGAGGAAAACCTAACATGAGATGGGTAGATTCCATAGAGGAAGCCGTGTTAGTTTGCAAGATCTGAATGGAACTCATTGGAAAAGACAATATTGATATTGGTGATAGGGAAGTAGGAAGAGAGGATAACTTAACATGATATGCTGTTGATTTGCAAGATCTGAATAGAGCTGTAAATAATATGTTTTGGAAGTTAGTAATTCATATAGTCACTACACATCAGAAGTACAGTGGGGTCTCGACCTACGGAATTTATCCATATTGGAACAGGGTCCGTAGGTCGAAAAGTCCGCAGGTCGAAAATGCATTCTCCATAGAAATGCATTGAAAACCATTTACTCCGTAACCCGCCCACGAACCCCCCCCCCAAAATTAAAATAAATGTTTAAAAATAAAACACTGTTCTTTACTACACAATACCCATGTTCATAATCTTTGGGACAGGGCGATGATCCGTATTTTGAGGACAGGACAGGGCAGCTTTGTTTTGGATACGGGGAAATCTTGGTAAATATGTTACTTAAAATAGAGAAAGTTGACGCTTCAGATTTGAATTTATTGTGAGGAGCCAATTATATTTTACTGCCTGGCTTGAATTGGTTTGTTTTAGTCCTCTTATTTCCTCTCTTAAACAGTGTGATGTATTGTTTATGTATTATATGCAGATTATATAAGAACCTGAAATATTCCATTTCTGTTCAAAACACTGAATAATCATAATCAGTAATGATGAAGTAACTGAACTGGTGGAAAAACTGGCACTTCATGTTTCTATACCTTGTATGTGTTGCTCAGTAATGGGACACATCCTCTCTTCCTCCCCCCCCCCACTTATATCTTCTCAGGGAAGAAGATAAAAACATATTTGACTACTGCAGAGAAAACAACATTGACCATGTAACTAAAGCCATCCGATCAAAAAAAGTGGATGTGAATACGAAAGATGAGAAGGTATTGGGCTGGGGAGGGATTAATCAGTCTTAGAGGCTGGTATGTCAAATTAATGTCCCCTAGTTTCTCTAATCCTTCCTTGCAGCTGCTATATGTCTGTTTTAGTGAGTTTGATGAGATGTCTGTTTGTGGAAGAAGAAATGTCCAACTGTAAGTACTGAGCAATAAGTTCTTGACTTTGACATTTGAATTTGATAGTAATTACAGCAGATCTTAAGTATTTTGGAATAATTTATGGAACAACCCAGAAATTATGAGTTGACAGAATGGCAGAAATCACTGAGGGAAAAAATAGTAACCCATATTAGCCAAAATAGAAAGACAAAGACTCCCCAATTTGCACCAGTTACAAAGTAAACCAGTAAAAGATCTACTGACAGATGCAAATGTTGTCATCAAAACAATCAAAATCGAAAAGATAAAGGAAATAAACCAGCTCCAGTATAGCATAGCAACCATAATAACCATGGAACATGGTTACAATCTGCAAAAAAAACCTAGAAAATTCCTGGCACTCCAAAATTTGACTGGGAAAAAAACGCATAGCATTTGTGCAGAAATTAGCAACATTAGCAACACTTGAAAGACTTAAAACTTAAAAATGAAAAAAAGCTAGACTATGCAAAAAATGAACTAGAAAGGAGAACAACTGTAGAAATTATGGAAAAATTAGAAGAAAATTGAAAACAAAATTGAAAGCAAAAAAATTGAAAGAGATGATGGACATTTGAAACAATATAGGGAAGACACACAGTTTCAAAGTAGCCAGCGATTATTTTATAAATCAATGGGAGAACATGAAGAGCAAAATAAATTGGGCCCAGGTAAAGATGATGCTCTAAAATTTTGGAAAGAAATTTTGGAAAGCCTAACCAGACATAAAAAAATGCCTCATGGATTAAAGACATTTGTAAAGAAATTCAAGGAAAATATATGGATTATACCGTAATAACAACTGAAATCATGAGGCAAGTAAAGGATGTGAAAAACTCGAGTGCATCTGATCCAGATGAGCTGCAGAGATTTTGGTGAAAACAAGTCTCTATCAACCTGTAGCGATTACATGCCTTCCAACAATATTCAGACTTCTCACAAGAGAACTTAATAATGACTTAATAAAGACTTAACTGAAAACTCTCTATACCCAACTGAACAGAAAGGGAACTTTAAAAACTCAAGAGCACGAAAGATCAGCTGCTTATTGATAAAATACTAAAGAATGCAAAAAGACAAAAAATAAATCTTAACAGGGCCTGGATAGACTATAAAAATGGCATTTGACTCATTGTATATAGCTTGATTAACACCTGCCTAAAAATTTTTGGGATTACTAAAAATTTTCAGAGGTTCCTCAAAAAAAGATGGAAAAATGAGAAATGGTCTTAATGGCCATAGCAAAGAATTTTGGGAAGTTAGAATCAAAAGAGGAATATTTCAAAGGTTTTCTCTGTCACCACTACTGTTAAACATCTCAACTATTCCCCATGCCAATAATCTTAAATAAGACTGAGTTGGGCTACCATACTTCAGAACAAGCAGGAAAAATCAATCTGTCTGTTATACATGGATGACCTAAAACTATATACAAAAATTTCAACTGATATAGAATCACTGCTAAACATTGTGTGAATATTTAGTGCAGATATTCAAATGGAATTTGAATAAACAAATTGCAACTCTCTTTGTACACCATGATAAGATCCAAAAACGAGATGGAATGGAGTTAAAAAATAGTGATATTATAAAATCACTATCAAATGATGAAAATTTTAAATACCTTGGAAGACAAGAAGCAGACTGCACACAAAACGTTAAAGGTCTGACAAGTTGACAGAAAGGGAATACATCGAAAAACTGCAGAGAAATTTAAAATCAAACTTAAATGGTGGAAATACAATCTAAGCCATAAACACATGGGCAGTTACAGCTGGAATAATAGACTGGATCCAAACTGAATTTGAAGAATTGCATCAAAAAACATGGAAACAAATGAACATCCATCACACACTGTAACAGCCTCCTCATGCGTCACAAAGGGGCTATTACGTCACACTCACTCACACTTAATTCACGCTGCCACCAACCATTCCCTCAAATAATACTTCAGGCCAATGTATGATTTTAAAATAAAAGAACTTGTGTTTATTGTGTACAACAAAAGGAACGGTAAATCACTTGAAGAAAATTATAAGGCAATCACTGTAATAAAGTAACATTCACACACACTCTCTCACAGACCCTCACTAGATAGCACAGTTCTTACTTCACAATATCATCAAGCCCTAACCTTCCTAGCATAACCCTATCTGGTCCCTATCTGGTCCCTATCTCATCCCTATCACAAATCCCTATCTAAAGCACTCACACCATTCACTCCCCTTATATACACTAGCTCCACCCCTTATGTCCCACCTTCCGTCACGCTATTGGCAGATGACATACAGCTTCAGCCGTGACGGACAGGTGATGTCAACATTACTGTAACATTACCTCCCCCCTTATAAAAGTTGTTTTGTGGGGAAAGCTAAGGTGCTTTTCACCCAAAACAACTGTACATAAAATCAAACATTACATTCCCCACATTTCAACACTTGCCAATAACATATTTAGCACAGTTTAACATAACTATATTATTTAAAAATATACTTACATTTGAATAATTAATTGCATATATATATACACACAAAGAACAATATTTCAATAACCACATTTCTCATACTTATTACACTCAGTTATAAATTTTAAGAGTCCAAATTCATTCATCCGGTGTCTTCTGGTCTTCGGGATAAGGCGTCAGCAACACAGTTCATAGTCCCTTTGACTACCTTAACCTCAAAATCATAGTCCTGTAAAAGAAGAGCCCACCTCATCAGTTTGCTATTTTGGGCTTTCATAGTCTTTAGCC